GTTATTAATAAAAACCAAGTGGGGCATTGCTTAGGCAGAAAGAAATCACCCACAGTGTTACAACTGAGGTAAAGGATTGAATGGTGATTAGAAGGGGTCAGGAAGGACTTAAGGAAGAGGTGGCATTCGATGTGGGCAAAGAAGGGGAACTGGGAGAATAATCCAAGCAGGGAATCACGTGACAAACGAAACTCTGGGCACATTATGATTAAGTCACAACAGCTACTGCTGTTGAGCATTTGCTGTGCGGGCACTGTGCTAAATGTTTTATATACATGATCTAATTTGCTCCTAATGATAACTGCACGAGGTAGGTATTTTCATTCCCATTCTACATATGAAGAAACTGGAATTCAGATGGTCACCAAGCTAGCCAATGGCAGGAACAGGATTCAGACATTGGTCTGACCCCCCACCTCCCAAGTCCTTGCTCTCTGGGAGTCTAGCACGGATGGAATTATACCCAAGAAGTGATACAATGAAAGAAAAGATAGGAAGAAGACATCTTGCTGATGGATTCTGACATGTCTTCATTTAACATAGAGGTGGGGGGAGCACACAGATTTTAAGGAGGGGAAGAATATGACTAGAAATGTGCATTGAGGTCCCGTGGCCCTAGGGAAGGGGGACTAGAGATCCATTAGAAGACTGGGACCATGATCCAGGCTTGGGTGAGAGAATCACTGCTTGTCATCAAAAAAAGAAACTGTGGTCCTGGGACCAGCAGCCTCTGCACACCAGCTAGAGCTCGTCAGAAACACAGGCTCCTAAGGAATCAGAATCTACATTTTAACTAGACACCCAGCTAATTCTAATGTGCATGGAAATTTGACCAGCATTGCCACAAAGAACAGAAGCTCTGCCTGGGCAGGGAGCACCTGCCTAGAGGGGCACATCGTTTTTTGGATGGCAGATCCCTGAGAACCAGAGGAACGCCAAGGACTCTAGCCCAGGAAAAAAGCGGGATGATTACCAACATTTACCTACAACTATAGGCGCTTCACAGAGCCCTGGAGAGCATGAAGACTACTGTGGCGTCCAATTCTTTTTCCTGAATAATTTAGCTGGGGAGGAGTGGTGAGGAGTTCACAGTTTTAAAAAATTCAAGTCTGAAGCCATGGGCTGTCATTTTAGAGACCTCTTCAGAGCCTGGACAAAGCTTTGGTCACCACCATGTCCAAGGCCAGGGCTCTGTTCCCATTGCCCTCCCCTCCTGCATTGTTCTCCAAATCCCCCAGAGACTCCAGCAGATACCCCAGAGCATTGCAACCAGGCCCACCCTGGCTTCCTTGAGCTGGATGGGGCCTGCCTGACTGCCGACTTTTCTTTAGTCCCAGAAAAGCCAAAATTAGCCTCCCTTTTGTTTCTTTTCCCAGGAGCCTCTACATTGTATCTCAGGAAAGGATTATTGTGCTCTGGGGACCCTATCTTATCATGGGGGAGGTGCTGAGTGAAAGGAAAATGGTCTTTGACAAATTGGTGCAATTCGGATAATCACATGACTTTCCAGTAACTGCCCCCCAGTGCTTCAGTAAGGCTATTGTTTCAGCTCCCAAATATTTAGCCAAGGAGGAGGCTGGGGAAGCTTGGGGAGTGGTCAGAGGTTTGAGAGCTTGACAGGGTGGGAAAAGGATATTTTTGGGTGATCCTCTGGCATGTTGCTGGGAATGGTGATACCAGGAGGCTCTGGCCCTTTGACTTGAGTTCTCTATCACTAACTGCATTCTTAGGGGGTAAGGAGACACACCCTGGGGTCACTGCTGGAATGCAGAGAGCAGGGGAGAGATGCCTTCGGAGGGGTGGGCTTTGGAGGCCACAGCATTTGAGCCTAGTTTGTTTCAGCAATTGCCTGCTCCATGGCTGGACAGGCTGCCTTGCTGACCCCTCTGGGGAAATAGGGTAAAATATTCTTTTACCTCTTACAATGAGTGCTGCTCAGAAAAACAAAAACTGGCACAGGGAGCCAGGGGGCAGATGTGACTTGAACTGTCAGAGCTAAAGGTTTCACACAAAAAATTCAGGGCACCATCAGGCTTTTGCCTTTATACAACTTCTCAAAACTTGCTGAGCCTCCAGGGAGAGAGCGCTCCCGCTGACTTCACCCTGGCTTGCTTAGCCCAATGTCTCGGGGCATTTGAGAGATGAGGTGGTGGCAGCAGGGGCACGTGAGAATGTGTGTTATCGATAGGGAACACTTTTCCCCTGTATTCATGTGGTCATCTGTGTGATATGCCTGTGGGTGGAGGTGGACAGAGGGGAAGGGTGTGTCCAGTCACCGGCGACAGAAAAGAGCCATGAGGTCATCGGAGCCCAAGGCTTTCCTCGCTGACCACTAGTAGCAATTGTGTTCCCGCCTTGCATTCCCAAGGGTTCACCTCCGCTCCCACGGAGGGTTCTGATATTGGGATTCTCGCCTGGGTCATACATTTTCTTCCATTGGAAATCTGCCTCCATAGGCAGATGGGGGGTGTGATATTTGGCAAGAGATGTGAGCTCTGACTTTGAGAACTGCACTGATGACAAGTCCCTCCTGTCTGAGCCTCCCTGAGAAGCCCTTTGCCTCTCATAACCCCCTGCTTAGGGATCACTGTGTGGGCAACCCGTTTTGCCTGCACCCTCCTCAAGGGTCCCTTCCTGTGGCATCTCACCAGGATTTGGGATTCCTCTCCACTCCTCCAGAATCAGCAAGACTTGAGAATCTGTATAATAGGCAGACCACCCCAGTGATTCTGCTGCACACTGAGTTTGGGACTCATTGAGCCAGCTGATCTCTAGGGACAGGTTTAGCTCCGATATTGTAGGATCAAAATGTTTTGAGGCATGGCAGACTCCAGGGAATAAGCCCACAGCCTTCTACTGGTACAGGTGGTTTTAATAACCACAAGTCTCCGTCTTCTTACTTTAGTGATTCTATACTCACCGCATGTTAGAATAATGCATGGGTTTTTTTTTCTAATTTACATATAATGTGTTTTCCAAGCAGAGATTAGATGTGTGGGATTTCTCCTCTCTTCTCTAACAAGCAAAAAAGTGCTTTAGAAACCCTAGCAGTGGTGCCACCAGATGGGTATGTGTTGGCACCTGGTAATCTCCTGGCTAACTCTCTAATGAGGGCCAACTGCTTAGTGCAACAGAGGACAGACAGCCTTCTGAACAAAGTGGGGTGTGGGGACCCCACGGCTTACCCTTATAGCTTCCTTTAAAAGAGAGGCCTCCCTGGGGTAAGGGATGTACTCAGATGCTTTAGGCCCCAAAGTAAAAGTAAGCTTGAACCCTAGGGTGGATCTCTACTGGGAAGAAGGTGGGAGAGGAGATTCTGGCTCCACCAGCTGGTGGTGCTGGAAGTGGGTCTGACTCAGCATTGCGGGCCAGCTGGTGTCCTGGGAGGAGGCTACGTCGGTAAACTGCTGTATTAGGAGACCATGTCTCCCCTGGCTATGGTTAGCAAAGGGGTAGGCAATGGCCCTTTCTCCTAGGGCCAGCGCTGGACCAGAAAAGCTGCTGGGAGCACCAGTGGGCACCAGCTGAGGATTGGGAGGGGGTAGGACCAGTTTCTAACAGTGACACTACCAGGCAGCAAGAGGTCACAGCGGAAGTCCTGATACCTGCTAGTATTTCTTTGGTGTGGTTTGGTCCAGCATCCATCTATTCACCCATTTAATAACAGTGCTGTGAGGGAGTTATTGTCACCTCTTTTGTATAGAAAAGGAAACCGAGGCACAGAGCTTATAGGGAGAGTAGCTGGCAGGCTGTGAACCAGGCCATCTGGCTCCAGAGCCCACACCCCTAACTCCCGGGCAGGCCTTGCTGCCTCTATAACAATAGCCATTGTTTACCGGGCGCTTACTACGTGCTCATGTGTTCTCTGTGTTCTTTTAGCCTTCACTACTATCTGATGAGGTGGGAACTGTTTTTATTCCCATTTCACAGATGAGGAAATTGAGACGCCAGGAAGATAAGCAGTGGACTGCTCTCTATTCACCCTCTTCCCTCTGCGAACAGAGGCCGGACTCATCCCACCTAATCCTACCACAGCTCCTTCCCTTTTTGGAACTTCTAAGCTTTTAGGGTTCTCAGAAAATTGATGCTAGGTGGGACTCTTGACTGGGGGATACTGAGCTTCCAGCAATAAAGCAAGTACAATCTTTAGTGAGGAACTAGAAAAACAAAGATGGGACGATATTTCTACCTTCAATTTTGTGAAAGCCAACCACACCAACTTCAGGGGTCCCGTCCCAGATTTACTGAATGAAAGGACATGAAGGATGGGGCCCGGAAATGTGAATTTAAAACAAAACCCCAAACTAACCCCAGCTGATCCTGGCCACACAGCACTGAGAATTACTGCCTTTATTCGTAGTAATATTTCACAGCCCCCAACCACGAGGCAGCAGTGTTTCCAGGAACTATTCCCAGTTTCCAAATCCTTCTGCTTAGAAGGAAGCTGCCTGTGGGAGCCAACCAGAGGGAAGGAGCTGGTTCAGGAAGGGGACAGAGAAGCCAAGCACACATGGCCCAGGACTCACATCCACGAGCTCTTTGTTCAAGCCGCCCCCTTGCTTTCTTTACTTGGAAAATTATCTGCTTAAAGTCAGGCTCAAACCTCTTATTCTTGGTGAAGACTTCCCCTGTCCAACCTGCCCTCCCCAGCCTCCCTGCCCTCAAAGGCCTGCACCCTGTGAGCCCCAGCACCAACCTCCCCCAGAGCACAGCCAACCTTTTCCCTCCCCTGTGTTCTCCTCCCACCAAGAAACACTGGCAGGACTGGTGTTATTTCTAAGCTCTCTGGCCCAGCAGAGTGTCAGGGACATAGTAACTCTCAGTAAGTGCTAGTAGAATGAGCATAAGGCAAAGGAAGACAGGAGGGTAAAGAGAGATGAAGAAGCCAGAAAGGGCAAAGGGCAAACTAGGGACAGAGGATGGCCAGTGAAATCTGATTTAGTGCTGACCCCTTGAGAACTTGTGATCTTTGCTCTGACCCATGGGATCCAGGCACTCACCTGGTCACACAGGAACTGTGGGCAGAGGACTGAGAGGAAGGGGAGAATGTTTCAATTTCTCCAGGCATCATTTCTTATCTGTGCTCATGCTTGTAACAACCCTGTGAGGTAAGTAGGGTAGGTGTTAATAATCTAATTTTACATCTGAGTAAACTAAGGATCAAAAAGCGAATAAACATGTCCAAGGTCACATGACTAGGAAGCAGATGGGTTAATCTAGATTCACTGCTAGACAAAAGGAGCTCAGATTCTTAAGGCTGGAAGAGCCCTGGAACATCATCTGATCCAACTGTGGTCAATGGTATATCTTCCCCAAAAGAGCTTAGGGGAGGGGTGATGGAGCTGTGTGGAATAACTTTCGTAACAGGGAACCCCCTGCAATCACTGCAGCTGGGATAGGGCCAAAGGAAAGTTCTCCCTTGCACAGAGCTACACTCCTGCTCTGTAGCACATACCCACTAGCTCAATCATCTCCTTCTGAAGACCAGCCAAAGGCACTGCTCCGTTTCCACTCTGTCGGCTCTGCTCTACCACCCCTGAGACGCCAAGACAGACATCCTGGACTGAGTCAAGGCCCTGATTCCCCTCCCCCCCACCCCGCAGCACTCTGGCAGCTCGCTCAGCCAGGGCACTGACTCACTGACTCCGGACAGTGTGGGTGAGTCACCGCTTGCTTGCGGGGATCTATTTTCCGGTTAGGATATATCAAAGGGGGAACATCCTCAGCCACCCTCTGGCTGTTCAGGAGAAAGTGGAGCATCTCAAAGCATCTCCATCCTATCTCCTCAGAAGGGTGAGGGGTTTTACTCATACAACCTCGTAACAGAAATGTACTCAGGGCCTCAAAGACATCCAGGTTGAGTTGGGCCTGAAAAGAGGGAAAGCTACAAAATGAATTGCTTCTTGCCTAGGAAGTAATGATAATAACTGAAATCTCGATGGCCTTTGGGAGTTGAAGAACTCTTTCATGGGATGTTTTCAGTTTTCACAGCCCATCAATAAGTCAGGTAGGAGGGAACTAAACATATGTTTTGTGAACAAGAATAACAGGATCAGTCTCAGAGCTGCTGAGTGGTGGGATCAGGACCAGCTCCCAGGTCATCTGGGCCTGAGTTCACTGACCTTGCCCCTCGTGCGACAGGGCAGAGTAAGTCCTCGAGACACCACCCAGGTGCTAACAGCACCAGGCACCCACGTGCTGCAGCTCAGGGCTGAGTGCCGGCCCCTCCCACTGGGACTGGTGGCAGCACTTCTGAGCCTGGCGCTTTATTGCGGATTATCTTATCTCAATAGGAAAAGGCAATTCAGGGGAAGAATTTCCTTGTCACGGTGCTCCCGGCTCTCCATTGTCCAGCTTTCTCAGCCACGGTTCATCCCCTGGGTCTGACCATTACTCATATCCATGGAGGCGCCTTATCAGGGCTGTCTAAGATAGAGGGCCTATTTTTCTCTCAGTACCAGACAACCTGGAATCTGTCCACCCTTTGTGGCCTGACATCGGCCCACAATTAGCCGGCTCATAAGCCAGCTGCTCGGGGAAGCGGCTTGAAAAACAGTCCCTAGCAATCCAGCTGTTTCCTTTCACAAAGCCCCCGGATTTCAGGGTCCTCTCCAGGCAAGGGTGATGGAGACCCACCTCTTGGTAAAGCTGACTGTGAGTCTTCACTCCTGTACTTTCTCTCTCAACTTTTCCTCTGAAAAACGTCAAACCTATAGAAAAGTTGCAAGAATAATATAATGAACATGCTTATATTCTTCACCTGGATTCATCTGTTGTTCCCATCTCGTCATGTTTGTTTTACTTCTTTCTCTCCATATACGTATATACCTGAAAAACATAAACTGTTTTTCCCTGATTGATCATTTTAAAGTTGCCAAATCATGATGATTCTCTCCTAAATAGGTGACGTATATACCCTAAGAATAGGGTGTTCTCCTATACAAACATAATACTATTATCACTCTCAAGAAAATGAAATGATAATGTTAGCTAATACACTGTACATATTCTAATGTCCTCAATTGTCCCAATAATCCTAGATAGCTTCCCCCGCCTCCCTTTAGGCTGTTCTTACCAGTACAGTTCTCCAGTCCTTTAGTTTTTTGTTTTTCACAACACTGACATTTTAAAAAAATCCAAGGTAGTTGTTTTACAGAATGTCCCACAATTTGGATTTGTCTGATTATTTCCTCAAAAATAGATTCCCAACTAAAATATTCAGCAAGAGTATTTCACAGATGATGTCATATCCTGATCAGGATATCACAACAGGAGGCACACGATGTCAGTTTGTCCCGTCACGAGACTTCAATGACTTGGCCAAGGTGATAGCCTCGGACTCCCCTCATGGTGACATCCAGAGTTCACCATTGTAAAGACATCCATTTCCATTTGTAATCAACAAAGTGATCTGTGGGTGTGATGAAATAAAATTTGTATTTTAAGGCAGGATAAGAAAATTTAAACATAAAATTCTCTCTCTTTGTCCATTTGGGCCTCTCCCTCCCTCCCTGTATGCATCTGCATTACACATTAACCAGAACCTCTCAAAGATGGGAGTGCCTGCTCAACTGTAAAGATTCTTTTTTTTTCCTCTTTCTTCTGACGCTAGTAAGGTAACTTTTTCAAAGAACAGCATTCTTCCGCAACGCTGTCGGGGTCATGGTGACTTGTGGCTTGCTTTGTACGTGCTTACCTGGACTGTGTATCCTTGGTGACCTTTACATAAAATATCAGGATGTCATTCTGATGTACGATCCTTTGTCTTGAAAATGTATATGACTGTGCCTTTGACTACTAACAGGTAGAACATTCTCAGAACTTTCTGAGAGTCTGTTTCCTGGATTATAGTCCTCAGACTGGCTCCAAAAATTTCCCTTATTTTTCTTCCTAGCTTGTTAATTCAATTTTTGTCATTGGTACTTTGACGCTCTGTTAATATCTTATTCTCAATAATCTTTCACATGCTTTTAGCAACTACTGAGGTCCTTGCTGATCAATTATTATTATGGTGGGTCACTTTGTTTTTACCTAAGAAAGAAATACTCATTACAGACAAGGTATAAAATACTGAAAAGTATAAAGGAAATATAATTTTTACATATACACAGAGAGCAAGATGAAAAACCCATGCACAATACATAGTATAGTTACAAACTTCCCCTTTCTAATGTTTATGTGAATGTTATTTGAGGGAAACATGTATGTATTTATAATCTTTTCTTCATAAAATTCTTAAGCTTATTTTGTCTGATTATATGATAGATATACCAATTGAAAAAGTTTATAAAGCACCAAAAACTATTAAAAAGCATAATATTGATAAATATATCCCTGACAGAGTTACTTATATATATATGCCTTTTTTCTTACTCATACTAAGAACTCTTTAAAAAAAAATTCTGTCCTTTTAATTTTCCTGCCTTGCTTTTAAATAGCAACTTGGATGTCACGTCTTCTCAGGGGCTCGGTCCTGCCTATTTCCCCTGGTTTGGGAGTAGTTGCTATTTGGTCTCCCTTTACCTTTCTTTGGTCTTGGGGAATGTGACTAGCAATGAACTGGAACTACAGCTGCTTGAGCCAAGGGGTTTCTCTTGGAACCAGAGATTTATACTGCAAACATGTAAGGAAAGGGAATTCAGGGGGAGATCTTTTTAAATTGAGGAATGTATTTAACTGCTTCCACAGTCAAGAAACCACTACTATAAGAACCCACACAATCCCTTTACTACACAGGAAATCTCATCATGACTTTTAAGACTCATCTGATATTAGTAAACAATGTTTTAAAAATAATTCCTAACAGTGGCACACACTCTCTTGTATTCTACTTTTGTTACTTAACATTGTCTTTAGCAGATTTTTCTTACAATATTAGAACTGGCAATTCATGTTGTGAGAATAAGCAAGCCATTCAGGCACCAACTAGATACTTTCCAGGTAATTCCATTCTGTTCTTCAGTCTCTGGGTCTATGATCTTTTAGGTTTAATAGCAAAATAGTATTTCTTCATAAAAGTATAATGTTTAATCATTCCCAACAAGTAGAGTTTTGGGTCCTTATCATGTTGTGTGTGTTCGTGTGTGCTACTGTAAATAGTTTTATGAGAACATCTCATACAAATAGATCAGCTTTAAAAGTAATTTCCTTAGGGCAGTGTTCTCAAAGAAATCATCTGAGCTTGTTAAAGATTCCCAGGCCCTGCCCAGATCTATTTGAATAGATATCACCCACAGAGCTTTAGGACATACTTATTCCAAAGTGCATTGCTGGTCAGAAGGAAAGCCCTATGGGATAGCTCTTTTCATACGTGATCAGGCTGCTTTGGATGCACTGGAGGAGAGCCCTTGTTCCAGCTGCCGGTTTAGAAAAGCCCTCAGACTTGCACTGGAGACGCTCCAAGTACTAGGACACCCTGATGAAAGTCAAGGTCAAGTTCAGACCAGGGGAGTGGGCCTCTCCAGTTATCCTGAAAGCAGACATCAGCTGGCGGGGGCTGGACTCAGAAGTTAAAAGCTAGCTCAGGAACAGCGGCGTGTGGAAGGTGCCCTGGCACGGATTCCACAGCAACTCGAAGGATGCAAATACAGTTTTCACAAACAGTTCTTAATACACCAGTTGCCCAGTCCTAGCTGTGCTGTCTCATTAGTCTGTACTTAATGGAAGTTGCAGATAATCTAGCTAAGGAAAAAAAAAAGTATAATCTTTGAAAAGTACAGCTGGAAAGCATATTTGAAATCAAACCTAACGGAGAAAATTCCTAGAACAAACAAAAATAGTAAAGCCGGTGGCCTCAAAAAAAAAAAATGCGTGAAAGCAGGACACTGTTGCTTTCCTTCATAAACCTTGCTACAATCTGTTCCCTTTAAAAAAAAAAAGTGTAACTGCACTATATTTAAAAAAAATTTTAAATAAGTTTTAAAACAAAGAAGAGAATGCTTTACAGTACACCACAAAGGATGCTGAACGACCTCAAATACAACAGGAACGGTAAAATAATCTTACAATTATCACCTTAAAAAACCACTGGTGTGAAATGCATACTAGGAGCCGCCCTCGGCAGTTCCCTCGAGGCCTGGGCGCGAAGGCGG